AACCTGGACAAGGAAAATGAATGATTCGGCTCTGTTACTTTATGCCGGATGAAAATTTGATCTAGTTCAGACCCTTTGGATAGAGAATTAAACCAAGCCACAAAACTGTTGCTGTTGATTTTAGACTTTGTAGCCAATTACACTTATTTAACTGAAGTCCGGAGTCAAATTTAATGCAAAATGATTCTTTTAAATTCTCCAGTGACCCTCTTTCTTTCCTGCAGACACTCAGACTACTGACATACTGTACTTAACTGATTTTGGTTTACTTCTCAGGCATAAATAATTCTGCAAGGTCCTAGTGTGGTGAATGCAGATGTGTTTAATCCACTTCTGAGAGAGGCAAGGAGGGTAGGATGCCACCTTTTTCCTCCCCCTGCCCTTCCCTACCCTTTGTATTCTAATCACTGCTTTCTGCTTAGAACACTGCTTTCTTCACAGCACCTGATGAAGCAAGCCATATACCTATGAAAGCTTATGCTATACATTTCTGATTCATGTTTCCAAATTTTCATAACAACATGTGGTTGGTGAGAGGGCTTTTTTCTACCTTACTTATACATTTCAGCTGGTATTTATTTCATCAAGACCATATGCTTTGTTGTTCTTCATCTGCTTAATGGGTTTCAAGCCCTCAGTAAACTGGTAGATCTGCAAGGTAGACCTTAAAGGGATGTTATGAAATGACTTTGATCACATTGACTTTGACATGAGAATCTCAGTTCAGGAGCTGTTGAAAGCGCTCCTTCCACCATGCATTGATGCTGGAGCCATCTTTCAAGAGTGTTGCTCCATCCTTAAATAATGCTTGGAATCACTGTCAGCTTCATGAAAACAAGGTACTTTACCACTCCACCACAAACCAACGAGGTGCTCCTCCACATATGACAGTAGAGGGCAATCCTTGGAGAACGTTAAACATTTCCCCTACCTGGGTAGCCACCTCTCCCAAACAAGTAAACGCAGACAACAATATTCAGCACTGGATAAAATCAGTTAGGGCTGCCTTTGGACATGTCTCAAACCATGTCTTGACATCAGGACCAAAACCAAACCTAACCATCCACAACCAAAGTCACATTTATATGGCACCTAACCGTCCACAACCAAAGTCACATTTATATGGCACCAGTTCCATTGAACAGGATATGTCATAAGGATGCCTACCAACTAGCTCCCAAAATAGGCCTCACACTCACAGATCAAAGGTTATCATTCTAGGCGTGGGCAAAAAGAAGGGATTCAAGGGCACTCAGAAGGCCAAATTTAAGAATCTGAGATATTAATATCAATACCCGGGAGATTCAAGCACTAAATTGGCCCCAATCACACAATGATGTACAACAAAGCATCAGTCATTTTGAGCAAACACCTTCCTATGGAGGTGGATAGGTGGAAGAAAAAAGGGAAGAGCTGTGACCTGACATCACCAGGATCTACTTCTGCCTTTTGAAACTATTTGCCTTATCTGCAGTCAAACATGCATGTCTTGGATCGGCCTCCTCAGTCATTTATGGACTTATCAATTACTTTTGTATTTACTGGAAAACTCATCCTCATATTCAGGGACTGCCACCAACAATGAAAGGACAATATTGAATAAGAAATGGCCATAAAAAAATAGGCTAAAAATTAGGTGTCTAGCCCCTTGAGGAATAAAGTTCTTGAATAGCCTTCCAAAAGGAACAGTAGGGGCAAACGTCACTAGTTTTAAGATGGAGCTTGAAAATGTAACAAATGAGGTACGATTCGACATGGCTTTCTGCCAGGGAAGCAACTGGACCTGATGTCTCAGGAGGTCCCTTCCAGTTCTGTGTTCTTATGTGATGGTTAGGCTTGGAAAGGTAGTCTGCTCTATCTAATAGACTATTTTGAAAGAACTTTCCACCCTGCAAAGAGAATGAGAGAGAAAACCAGATCCCCAAGTAAAAGCTTGGCAACACTAGATACAGTCACGCAACAAGGATGCCTTGAACACTCCAACTGCCACAGACAGAAGCAAAGAGTAATTAAGATGGCAAAGAAAGCAAGCTACCAGAAATCCTCTCTGCTGGGCAGTCAGTCCCAGCAAACGAATTCAAAGGAACCTAGAGAGATTCATCAATGTAATAAGCTTGGGCAGCCTGGGCAAGACAGCTTCTATAGACATGAAGTGAATCTGCTCCCCCAGCAAAGTCATAGCAAGCTACCATCAAACTCGCTCTCAGACCTCAAAGAGTGATCTCAGTTTATCACAAATACCCCCAAAATAGAGTAGTAGAGGAAGGGGACTTGCAGCAATACACCCTCAGTTTCCACCCTCAGGAATTAAGCTAAGCCATTCCAATTTCCTCATCCTGATGATTCCCTTTAAGATGTGATCATTTTGCATCCTTTCTTCTGGGTCCTAGATTTGTGATCAATTTCTGTCTAGTTAATAAAAAAAAACAACTTTGAAAATGTTATGGTTGATGAAGCTAAAATGGAAAGGAATGATCTCATAAATCAAAGCCTTATAGGGAGCTTGCTGCTGAGTGGTATATACAATAATTGGACAATTTCTGAAGACGAGTTGAATGAAAATGAATCTCTTTCCC